TTGGCTCTACTGGAAGATTCATGCTGACGCTGTTTACGAGACTATCTCTTTCGATTCCGGTGACGTCCGTCACATGAAGAACATTGTCAGAACAAGGTATCATCGTCACAACCAAATTCAAGCTAACGAGTCAAGAAAAATCACCAGCAAATCGACAAAACGTGGTATAAATCTTCCAGTAAAGCCAATCGACAGCTGGTCAAGAGGAATCCGCCGTCGTCTTCTGGGGGAACCGACCTTCGAATCTCTTCACCAAACACTTTCACTCGAAATGTAAGTAAGTTCAACAACCAATTATTATTGTGGGAAACTTTAACTATCACTTTCCTTTCACCTTATCTTCAATACGACCTAGAGTGGCTACAACTCATATTCTAATTATGACTATTCTAATCCTAGTTCGACTTCAATAACGGCCTTGCTTTGATCTCTTCATTAGTACCATCACCCTTATTGTCTATTTTGATTAGCCAGCTCAATTCGAGCCCTGACAGATTGACTTTGTTCGATTGTTGATTGGCTAGCCTATTTCGGGCTTTGATTGGCTGACCTATTCCGGGATCTGATTGGCTAATTAACCGCGGGATAATTGTTTAAATCACCATGAGTATCCCATGTAGTAATTTAATTTCCCCAGGTTTCCTTGTCAGCTCCAGTCACCGAGATTGTAGAGCGACCAGACTGCTCTCCTGAGGGTGTCCAAATTGTTTGTCCTCGCCTGACTTGTCGGAATGTTCGCCTTCTTGCCAGCTCAAAGTTATTCGGAAAGAAGATGCCGCAATCCACTCGACCTTCTGCTGCTCGCCGCCACGGTAGTCGCTCTGATGCCCGCTTATATTAGTCTCTTCGGACTCGTCGAACAGGTACAAGCCAGCCTTCCGGGAATGCGGCCCTCTTGGCTGCTGTCGCAGCAGCAGCAACGCCTGTTGCCAGGCGGCCGCCGGCAACTGCTTCTCGACTCAAGCTCCAACCCCGCCGGCGCCTCCTCACAGACCCGTCTGGCACCGGTTCCTCTGGATCCGGAGTTGCGGTTGTTCGATTCAGCCGCCGACGCCGGCGACTTGGAGCTCAGGCCCACGCTGAACAGGCCGTTTGCGCCTCGAAAACGCAGTCCATACGACCTTTCGTTCAACAGTGACATGGCGCTCATCCGCGACATGTACAACCGAATGCACGGCGAAGGAGAGGACAGTTTGATTGACTTGGGCAGATAGACAACGCACTTTGTGCTGCTTGCAGCGCTTGGCGCCCGGATGGGCTGTTTATGAGTCGCATCACTTCAACACAAATCCACATACGCAAGCATACACACACACACAACGGAGACACACTTGAAATGTACACTCTCAGACTGCGGATACACTTAGCCCTCCGTGTTAAACCTATCCCTTGGTAGTTGTTCCTGCTGGCCTTGTCGAAGCCTATCTTGAGAGCATACTCCATTCATCATTTCAGCCCAAGAGCATGGGCCATCCGCCCGATTGCACAACACCACAATGGCCCAAAACGATGGCTTCAAAGCGGACTCTTCGAGGCCCCCATCAACCAGCACTTGATGGTCTGGTTCCCGAGGAAAACAGTTCTGTAGTCTGAGATGTGTAGCGCCTAGCATAGACGGCCGCTTTGTTGTGCAAATTTCCTTGGAAGCATCAGATAAATTCTTTGGCAATGACAAGCAACTTCTTCTCTTTTGTCGCTTCTTTTGGGCTTTTGCGTCAAACTGCACAAAAGTCTGCCTATCGCCCACTCTTGTGATGAAGGCTTCGGGTGCAAAATGGTCTTTTGCATTGCATAAAATGTAGGTGAGGAGCTTCTTTAAGAATGGTCTTTATCGGCTTTTGTAGTGGCAATTTCGCTAAATG